TTTTCAGGTAACTTGTTTATTCAAAAGGAGTGTCAAAGATCTGTAGTAAATACAATCTTTATTTTTCCTAGCTGTCTCCTAAGATCATTTCAACTGATGTTTTTTGTTCTAGCATGGAACTGATTGTACTTTTGACAAAAGTGCAGTCTCACAGTGCGAGTCAAATATACACACAACTGGTTAATATACTCAGCAAATTTTAATTACACAACAAAACGTCTAGTATGATATATATATATAATATTATATATATATATATATATTCATTTGATAACAAACAAATGCACAAGAAAATTGCAGTACAGTCAATCCCATCTAATTTCTTAGAAGGGAGACCTCTACATGTGTAATACACATATTAAATGTTTTTAAGTAATCTGTATGTATGTGACTTCTAGGTAAAAAATCAGGAAAAAGGAAGAATTATGAAAGTGCACCAGCAGCTAAGAGGGCAAAGGAATGCCATGCCATTAAGTGGTATCCCGTAAATATGGTACAATTCAAACCACAGGGACATCCTTCAACATCAAAAGTAACAACAGTGCAGAGCTCACAAAACGTTTATGAAAATCAATCTTCCAGAGCAACTTATTTTAAGAAAAATTCCACTCCAGTCACACATACCATAACAAGCAGCACTTTTGTTCCAGGCCAACAGACACAAGCTTCAGGGGGCACTTTACCATCATCTGCCCACACTCTAGTTTCTTTATTATCTTCTCCTCACCTTAATTTGCAAACCTCAGTTCAGGGATGCCAATCACAGCTGATAAGGCAAAGACAATACCATTTTTGTCAAGATGATTTGACTGTTGGAAAAGATATCTTTGATTCATCACAGCTAGGCAACAGAATTCCAGTTACAAATCTACCAGAACATGGAAAACAGATCCAGACAGGATTAGATCAGCAGCATGTTTTGCAAAACAAAAGTAGTTTGCTACTAAGAACATCTCAGAGTGCTGGTAGTAGTATAGCAAGTAGGTGTGGGGGCACCAGCTTACATTCAGCCACCCAACAAAGAAGAGGAGATCAGGAACAGTCTTACAGACCTGAAGTAGTTCCAGAGGTACAATTAAAAATGATTGTAGTTGCTGAGAATTGTCTGCATATATATGGATGCAGGGCAGGATGGTTACTGTGCAGGTTTAGGATGCTTTTAGTATTTACAAGCCCTAGCTGGGTTGAAATTCTGCTTTTTAATTGATTATTGAATAAAGATGTTATATGCATGCTTTTAAATTGCCTGCCTGCTTGCATGCTGCATTTGGCTAATTGGGATTTCCAGTTATTTAAAATTAATTCCTCTTGACTAATATGTAGGGACACAATGTTAGTTTCACTGGGTTGCCGATAACTTTCCTGGCAATCCAAAGTCAATGATTTTTCCTGGTTTTAATAATGAAAGGTGATATCTTACATTGATTAATCCACTGAGTGTGGATAATTCTATAAGGAATGGCAATACTTACCAGTATACTAGCTGAATCCACAGTTTTTAAGAATAAGATTCTGTATTTTGTTTTATGATGCCACTGTCATATTTTTGTCATTTGTTTTGGTAGTGTATGATACACATAACCCTTAAATCCAAAGATATATGATTGTTAACTATCCACTCTAGCTGCTACACATTTCCTCGTAACTTAGTTATGAGAATTTAGTGTTGTATTAGATCAAAACAAAAATTCTACA